GTGCTTGGGCCCTGCACCCACATGGGAGACCAGGAGGAAGTACCCGGCTCCTGGCTTCGGATCAGCGCAGTGTGCTGGCCGTAGCAGCCTTTTGGGGTGAACCAACAGAAAAAGGAAGACTTTTTAACTCTGCCTGCCAAAAAAAAAAAAAGCCGCAGCCTTTAGAGTCAGCATCCTACATGAGCACCAGTTCAAATCCCAGCTACTCCACTTCCTATCCAGCTCCCTGCTAATACACCTGGGAAAACAGCAGAGGATGGTCCAAGTCCTTGGGCCCTTGCACCACCAATATGGGCGACCAGGAAGAAGCTCCTGGATCCTGGCTTCAGATGGGCTCAGCTCCAGCTGTTGTGGCCATTTGGGGAGTGACCCAGTGGATGGAAGACATCTAACTCTTTCAAATAAATAAAATAAATCTTTAAAAAACAAAAAAGCCAAACATAAGGGGCAGGCTTATGGCATAGCAGGTAAAGCTGCAGCCTGTGACACCACACCCTCATGGGCACCAGTTCATGTCTGTGCACCTGCTCTACTTCCAATCCCTGTTACTATCTGGGAAAAGCAGCAGAAGATGGCTCAAGTGCTTGGCCCCTGCTACCCATGTGTGAGACCCAGATGAAATTCCTGGCTTTGTTCTGACCCAGAGCTGGTTATTGATTTGAGGCCATAGGGGAAGTAAAGCTGTGGATGGAAAATTATTTCTGTGTCTCTCCCCCCACCTGCACTAACTCTTTCAAAATTAAATAAATTCTTTTGTAAAGTTTTATTCCTATTTTTAGAGCTGTAAGAAGGAGGTCTTTAGGGTACAGTCGAAGCTTTCTTTTTCTCCAAAAGAAAACTAAAAATTTTAATGGGTTTTAGAGGGCAGAGATGGGGGAGAGGGGATGGCACTGGTTTCAACAACTCAGGCAGGTAACTCAGCATCCATCCAGAAATATTAGAAAAACGTTTAGAATCCAGATGTTAAATACAAATCACAGAAAGTGACTGGTAATATTTAAGAAAATAATTTATTTTAAACTTCTACTATGATGTTTGTAATGGGGGAGGGAGAAGAAAGCATACCCAAAATTCATCTTAACCCACCCTGAAACCCCATCTTTTACCCAGTCTATTCTACCCCTGATATAACACTAAACTTCTATATTACTAGAACAGATTGTATCACTCAATTGGTACTTAGCATGCGCTATTTGGGGAGGGGGTGACTAGAGTTGGAGGTATAATCCTTGTCTAAAAAGCTATTGTTAAAAAAAAAAACTATTCTACTTTCTCATTATTTCCAGTGTTTGGCATAATGCTCAATATACATGGTATAGTCTCAAATATGCCACCCCCATGCTCAACACACTCAAAGTTTTCCCATGTTTATATATAAGGATAAAATACACATTCTTAAGCATAGCATTCAAAGTTCTAAGTCACACACTCCTTACCAATCTTACCATAACTCTTAGCTCAAAGCAGATTCTCCTTCCCTTTTTCCACTTACTTTTCTTTTACTTCTCTTATAATAAGCAACATATTCTGTTTATATTAATTTGTTTAAAATTCAGAGGAGCCTCCACTGCAACAGCCCCATGATGGAGAAAACTGGTCTGGGTTCATCTTTTTATCCCATGTGGGAGTTAACAAATTGCCTTGCATAGAGAAATAATAAATGCCTATCATAATGAAAATAATGTTGAGTATTAAAAAGAAACAAACTCTAAAGTCATTTAGTAGTCTTAAATATTTTCCCTTCTGATTAAAGATGTTCAGTAAACTGTACTGAATGCACTACAGTCAGCCTTTGAAAGAAATTTATTCTTTCACATGCTTAATAAGAAATTCAGTCACTATAATATGAAAAATACACCCTTATTTCCTTTTTAGCTAGAAACTCAAAATACACAATGAAAACTCATAATTAAGGTGTTTGGTTTTGAACTTAGAAAGGTGGAAAGGGAAAAAGCATGAAAAATGAGAGGCAGTTTCACTTTATTTGGTTCCCCAATTATAAAAAAACCAAGCCTAACTTAAAATCTTGAAATTAAATGGTAAAGTCTGAGTTGATTAGTAATTTTAGTATTAAAAGCAATAAAAACATTTTAAAATGTAATAAAAGCAAAAGTGCCATGTGCCTCCTCATAAAATGTGCTGAAAAGGATATTATCAGTTCATAGAACAAGGGCATATCAAACAGTTCAAGGGAAAATGGACATAAAAATTTGAGTTTGGGGTGGCCATTTCGCTCAGCAGTTAGACTACTGCTTGGGACGCCAGCATCCCCTGTCTTGAGTGCCTAGGTTCAAGTCACAACTCCACTCATCATTCCTGTTTCTTGCTGATGTACACCTGGGAAGGCAGCACTTAATGGTTTAAGTGCTTGGTTCCCTGCCACCCACCCACAAGGGAGACCACAGACTGAGTTCCAGACCCTTGGCGTCAGTCTGTCCCTTCCTGCCTCTCCCTGTGTCTATGTCTGTCTCTCTGAATCTTTCACCCCAATCTGTGTCTTTCAAATAATTTTTTAAAAAATAAATAATAATTTTAAGAATTCTAAGGAGTAGGCATTTGGCAGAGTGGTTAAGATACTATTTGTGATGCCCTCATTCCCTATCAGAGTTCCTGGGTTTGAATCCCAGCTATGCTTTCAATACCAGTTTCCCAATAATGTGCAACCTGGGAGGCAGTAGGTGATAGCTCAAGTACTTGAATCCCTGTCACACACATGGGGGATCTGGATTGATTTCTGACCTCCTGGCTTTGTCCTAGTCCAGCTCCAACTGTTGTAAGCATTTGAGGAGCACATAGCAGGTGGAAGATTTCTCCCTGTCTTCCTCTGTCTCTCCGCCTTTAAAATAAATGAACAGGGGCCGGTGCTGCAGTATAGAGGGTAAAGTCACTGCCTGCAGTGCTGGGATCCCATATGGGTACTGGTTCGAGTCCCGGCTGCTCCACTTCCGATCCAGCTCCCTGCTAATGCGGCTGGGAAAGCAG